TCCTCATGCCAGATGCTGGGACGTCGCCAGGCTCCGGGGTCATGTCTCCGCTTCTGTGTCTCCCAGTCTCTCTCTCCCAGTCTCTGCAGTCAGATGTGACGTCTGTGACGCCGGCTCCGGGGTCGTCTTGCCTGTGATGCCGGCTGCGAGGTGATGTAGTCTCTCCGTCAGATGCCAGATGCTGGGACGCTGGTTGTGTCTCCCGCTTGTTGTCTGTGTCTCCATGCTGTGACGCCGGCTCCGGGGTTGCGTTGCCTGCTTGTCTTTCTATTAATATGCCGACTTGGGGTCATGTCTCCCGCTTGTCTCCATGTCTCCCAGTCTCCGTGCAGTGACGCTCCGGATGTATCTAATTTGCAGTGCAGCTTTGTATATTGCATAGTATGCTGGAAAAGCCGTTCTTTTGCTGCTTAGCTGTTCTCACTTGCAGCCACCTAGGTGGCTGACAGTTGGAAAGCAAGTTGAGCACCTAAAACGATATCCGTACTGGCACGGGCAAGGGTTCCCGAACGATATTCGCCAGTGCGCATGTTCTGGAAAACTTTCTTAAATTGAATGAAGAGAAGGTTCCAGATGGGAACAATTCCAGGGAGGTTCTGCTAATTTCAGACATGCCAGCCCAGCAGGGGTTCGACTTGCTTCAAGGAAACGTTTGGTGAAGTATGTGGGCACTGTATTTCAGAATTTCCAGAGGCTTTGCGTAGATTCCCTTGGTTCATTTTTATTCAAAGCTGCCTTCGAAGCTTCCATACCGCGGACAGCGGTTGGGCCTGAGAGTGCGCACGGACGCAAAGCGTTGCGTTGCACACTGGCCTATATGCTAGTTGCGGCGATAAATTCCCATCCACTCGAAGTCACTCCACTAGGAAGATTGTGCTCAGAGATTGACCGGAAGCGGATGGGGTCTTTTTTCAACGTGCCCGTGATTTGACGGATGCGTGCGACGTTTTCCGTTGCAGGAATTTGCCAATTTCTGGCAACAAACTGATGGCTCTGGAGATGTATTAGCTTGCCTTTTTAAGCACACTCATGTACCATTTGAAGGATGCTTGGAATAGATAGCTCAGACTTCAAGAAAAGGATACAACAGGCCTACTAGAACACATTTGCCGGCCAGCCACCGACATGGCCTTTGTTTGCTGCCAGCCGAAGGACGTGTGGAACTTGAACGCCTTGCTGCTTCCGCTATGTCTTGCCAACGCGACATGCCGCTGTAGCGGGAATAGCTGCCAGGCTTTTGCCGGCCCAGAATGGCATCGTGCTTGGTTGATGGGGAGGGGCATTTTAGGCAGAAATCGTGCCTTCGATTTGATGTTGCTTTGCTGATCAGAAGTGTTTTTCGGATGGCACTCTTCCAACCAAGACCTTCAGCACCTGCGCTTGCTTCGCAGGCGCTGCTGTCCGCCAATCCGGTCTTATAATGCCTCGAGTTGGGCAATGCCCAACAGGTTCATTGCGCTTGGGCAAGTCGCAATTGTCTTCGCACAGCCGTCTTCTATTTTGATATGAAGCTGGAATCGCTCTCGTTGAGCAAAAGGCCGAGGGCCGTTTTTGCAGTCGCTCGGAATCATTGGTCCGTTGCCCTGTGAATTCCCTGAGGCATGGAAGAGTGGAGGAATGCCGCAGGACTGAGCGCTTGTTTGGAGATGTTCCAGGCTTGGTAAACAGCTAAATCTCGTGTTGACCAATCCGTCAGGAAGATTAGGAACGGTGTTTTTTGAGGAAAGGATTTGCTATGCAATCGTGCGCGTAAAATGTCTGTAGGAATTTTGGTCCGCCCAAGACATCACGCACCTAAGTCTGGGATGTGTTGTTTTTTTTTTGTTTCAATGGATGTGCTTGCCAAAGAAGTTAACATGGAAGGATGAATTGACATACCATTTGTTGAGAATGACCACCTTGAAAGATGCGGAGATCCATGTACCCCGGATACCCCAGAACCGTGCTTGCAGGCATCGGTTGTAGTCCGAATCATGGGCTCACGGGGAAGTAGCACATTCAGGAAGAATTCGGTCGGGAAGGGGTGCTGCCAGGTTGCACAAAAAGTTGAGCCAAGCATCGTTGCCACACGTTGAGCGCAAGTTCCAGAGCGCCCAGCTTGCTGGTCTTTACCATGGCTTTCCCTGGGTTCCCATGGCTTTCCCTGGCTTTCCCTGGGTTCCCATGGCTTTCCCTAGGTTCCCATGGCTTTCCCTGGGTTCCCATGGCTTTCCCTGGGTTCCCTGGGTTCCCTGGTTCCCTTTTTTTTGGCTTTCCATGGTTGCCGTAGGGTTCTGATGTCGAAAGTCTCACGGCGTCCATGGACTTTTTTGATGGATGCCCCGACCTTGCAACCTCTGCAACGCTGCTGCCTTGTTGGGCGTATTGCCAGCGGTCCCATTTCAAGGGTTTTGGAGCTTTGCACAGAAATTCCACGTCTCCTTTTTGCCCCCTGCCCAATTTGGATATTTTGCAGTCTGAGGGTTGCCGCCGGACTAATTGCGGGGGTTCCTCTCTTGCGGCTTGACATGGAAAGACCAGATCAGAATTCATTCAGACTTGCCGCATTTCGGTGGGACGTAGGCGAGTTATCCGAAAGCCTTGTTGCTCAGAAGCGCTTGCCGGGCTCCCAGGTGATAGAGCCGAAACAGCCTCCGAATGGTGTGGCCGCGGCCCATTCCCAAGCGAACTGAAACGTGCGATTTTGTAGATGAAGCAGACCCGAAGCTCCAACATGCGGGAGAGTTGTGTGGCAGGGCAGTTTATGTAGCACAAGATGTTCAACTTCCCCTACAAACCAACTGGTCACGGATAACAAGTATATGCAAGTATGTCCCGGAGGTACCAAAAGACGATATGGTTGCCATCAACATTTCGCCCCAAAGTGGCATGCGAATCGCGTCCAGGAAGCGGAGCCGTCATTTCCGCCACTTGGCATGGAGCCAGACTCGCCAAGATATGTCACTCCTTGAGGCAGGGTGCCTCTTCAGCTTTCAAAGGGAAAGCGAAGGAACACCGACTTCGGGCCCGGGGTGCTAAGCTTATTGCAAGGCACATCCAGGCACAGACTTTCCTGGATTTCCTTCCGGAATGTGTTGCTTGACAGTCGCGCCAGGGGATGTGTGAGCATGTTGCTTGCATCAACATGCTTGAGCACAGCTTGCAAAGAGTAACTGCACATGATCATGGTGACATGGATTTACAGTCCACTGTGTGGCTCAACTTCATGCGACTGTCTGTGGGCATGGTCAGTGGCTGGAGGTTGTCCTGCACCCCTGTATCCAGTGTGGTTGGTTCATTGTAACTATGGGTTCTGGATGGATGTATTGGTCAGCCCCCTGGTTTGTCAGACTCTGGAGTGTTGGGGCTCGTTGCGTGGCGTCTTGGTGAAACATCTCTGAGGCCGGATGCAGACCCTGGCCAGGCCGTGGGCGATGGGCGCGCGGATCGGAACCTGTGGGATAATTTCTCGGCCTGGAAGGCGTCCTCAAGTGCCCTGCCTTTTTCCTACAGAAGCTAATTCGGCGGAACTGTGTCTGGGGAATGGCCTTGTTCTTGCAATGCTCCGCGGAATTGTCAGGGCCGAAATCTTGAGTACAAAGACAAGAGCCTCAAGATTGACATTGGACGGAGTGAAGCAAATGCCTCAAGATCTTTTCCGGACCTTTTGCTGCGAGAGCTCCCCCGGTCCACATGACTCATGAGCCGCCTGCGTTCCAGGAAAATTGTTTTTTTCCCCCTTCCAAGATTCACTCGGAAACGCCTGTGCAGATCGACGTATGTTACACATGGCATGGATGAGAAGCTGTTTGGTCAGCTTTCGAGAAAATGAGCAATACTCATATAAACATATCATTCACCGAGGGCCGTTTCAGAAGGCTGGTTGTTGGAGTTCCCTGGGTTTCCTAGGTTTTTCCCTTGGTTTGATGGCCTTCCCATTGTGTTCCCACGATGTTGTCATAGTTTTCCAATGGTTTTCATTTTTTGGCTCCTCACCCTGTGCACTCCAAGTTCCTACACATTGCCAATGCTTGTCCTTTGCTTGTTCCCACCTGCATTTTGTTGACAAGACACCCACCGTCGTCTTACAGCTTTTTGTTGATGCCCTTTATCATGTTGCCATCTTCCTTTTGAAGGGCTTGTGCCTGAATCCTCGTGGTTGTTGGTAGGTTTCCTTGTGGTTCACTTCAGGCACCAGGTCACCATGCCAAAAGGGGTCTCTGTATTATTAGTAAATACCTAGGTGTAGCGTTTGAGCCCCCTTCCACAAATGGGATTCGTCATGGGGAGTGCATATGCGACATAAGTCCCCGAATGATGTGCACAGGTACCCAATTCGAACTCATTTCCAAATGAACCCATGACCGTGGACGGTTCCCATTGAGCCCCGGTTGATTACACCGTCACACAAAAGCCGGTGTTTTCTGCAAGGGGTTCATGAGCTCATACATTCAGCCTTTGTGCAAAAAACGGTACCTCGACGCAGTGTCAAACTCGTGAACCATCTTGGGCCGTCCTTGAAAGGCCCATTGTTCGACAACTCCACGCTTCATTCACAGAGTGATGTGTCATCTTTGAGCAATCGTGACTTTGGGCCCATGCCTCGTATTCGCCATGGTAAGCACTGCAAGCAACAAGTGAGGTTTGCTTTGCCCACCGGGTTGGTCTTCAACCTTCCAGGGGAGCCCGTAAATCCTTGCCCCATCCATTTCCCGTAGACCCCACGCAGCTATGAAGTCCTGTCTGGGGGGCAGGGAGGTGAAGCCGTGAAGCCTGTGAGGCGAAGCGGCCAAGCAGGCGCCGCAAGGCGCGAGTGCCGGAGGTTCCGCGTGGGCGTCTTTCGATGTCTTTCGTGTTTGCTCTTGTTGCTCTGATTTGTTGTGGCGTGTCTTTGTTTAAAATGTTATTTCCCTGCGTTGGGCTTTGTTGTGTCTTGCTTTGGTTGTCATTGTTAAATCGATATGTCCCTGTGTTGGGCTGATTTTATCTCCAGTTTATGACTACTTCCATTTGCTGAAATGAATAGTTTTTGTTATCGCCTGTTTGCTTCCAAGTTGAAAGGGAAGCTGGAAACATGTTCTATTTTTCCCAGGGGACTTAAAAGCAGCTGGAGGACTACGTGATTCTGCGCTGGGCAGGTAAGGCAAGCAGTCGGCGTTGCCAATATTTTCCAGCTGATTCCCGGGTAACCTGCACGGTATTCATGTAAAGAACCAGGTCTATTCGGGAGATACGCTAAAACTTACGTCCGGTTGCTTGGCACTTCTAGGAAATCCAACACTTAGTTTGCAAAGTGAAGATGCACTGAACACTTGCTTCCTGGTGCCTTTTTGCGCACCTATGTCGCATTTTTTTTGAAGGAAGCCCAGCGACTGTGGGCATTTCCTTTGTGCCGATACCATCTTAACTGGGTGTGGCTCAAAATTAAACAGGAGGGGTTACGCAGGTGTTGGTCCGTGTTTGCACTTACCAGGGTTCCATTTTGGTACCGGATTTTTGAGCCACAGCCAACTTAGCAGCAGGGTTCCATGGTAGCTGAGCACAACGCCAGGTGAGCACGAGCCAGACACCTGGTGCTCCTGTGGCCACTTGGCGGGTGTCACAAGGCGCAGATGACAAGATGACGAGGATGTACTAAATATGGTCTTCCAGAACCAGGGCTCCTTAAAGGAAACATTTTGCCCATTTGAAACGTGGCTTTTTCCACCAAAATACAGCGAAACCACCATTTACAAGGCAATGTTCAGGTGTATAATGTAAGGATCCCTGAGAACATGCTCATCTCTTCATTCTGCAGTGCGTCCGGGCAGGAGTTCAACAAGGGCTAGGCAGGGCAGAGCAATCCAAATATTCCGCAATGTCGAAAAAGTCTTGCCTGACTCAGTAAATTGAGCCAAAAACTAGCGAAACTTGATTGGCATGTTCTAGGTTTCTCATGGCAGCCTTTGTTCTGTGTCGATCACTCGCTTCAATGTTCAATCTTCAAGACCCTTTGCTGAACCGGATCGCAGCATGTATGACGACTGGGGACCCCAGTTTGGCTCGGGTTAATGGGACATTCCTGGACACCAGTCATTTTGGTGGCTCCAAGTGGCTCCAACGCAGTTTTCTTCGCACAGGCCGTGCTTGCATTCTTCTTTTTCACTCACGTTTTGCTTCAGAAACCGTGATTTCATGTCGCATTTGTGTTTTCGCCCTTACGCAAAGGCTCCCAGTCCAGACCCGAGAGCTGAGGCTCCAAAGCTGGAGGCACGAAGCGCGGGATTTATAGCTGAGCACGAGATGAACTGCCCTTACTTATCCCGAGCAATCTAACACAAATCCACGGGGAAAGCTCAAAAAACCATCAAATGAACAAGTTGCAAAAGCTCAGCTCGTTTGATTTGGTTTACATGTCAAGGTTCACTATCGGAATGAAGCATATGAAAGTTGGTTTTGGGGCAGCTGAAGTCCCTCGGTGGAAAGCCTGGAGAAATGGAACGGATGCCACTCGCAGCACTTTGCCTTTCCCGAGCGTCATTTGACCATTGTTCCTTTCAGTCACCTTGTGGTTGGCCAGTTTATTTCTAAGTTTCTTTGGGTGGAAAGAGGTATTAGAGGGGGAATGTAGGAAACTCTGTAAGCAACCATCCCAATACAAGGTTGCCCTGCTAAGAGGACGACCCCCCCCCCGAACTGCGTGGAGTTTCCTAAGGTTTGCGATGGTTTGGGCCCCCTGTTAAGGGGCCTTCAGGATAGCAAGGATGTAAGACTCGTGTCATATGTGTGGACACGCTCCCCTTGCGGAATCTTTCTAGGACATTTTCGGAACGTGCTGCTGACCTGAACCCTGAAAATACACACAAACACAAATGGGAGTTCGGCAACGTTCAGCAACCATAACTTTGGGTTGCAATAACCATGTTGTATATTGTTGGAAGTTGGAGGGTCCAGATACCAACTGCTCGGCCAAGTGCGCGTGAGCTTGTTTCTTCTGTGCTTCGAAACTGCGCCACTTTCTTGCATCGGCGATTTTCCGATTCGCCAGGTCCGGGCAAAGCCGAAAGCGCGGAGGAACTCCAAGGTAAAGCTGGAGAAGGTGAGGTTTTTGGCATGCAGATTGCATTTCTCGAGGGCCTCTCCAACAAAGTTGATATATCTAAGTCGAGAGGTTCAACATTGTAATTCATTTCCAGCCATGCATGTACCGCTTCCCCCTGGCGTCACTCAGCACAAACAATCCAAGCACCCCCCCCCCCAAACAACTGCTTTTCCCCATGTCCACCATTCCCAGACAGAGGGCGGGTGGCTGGATGACGCAATCGCTTTTTGGAGCCTCTTGGCCCAGGGCACGCCATCTCCACACGCGTCGGAGGCAGGGTGACAGGAGCGGCCGGGGCACCTTTTTTTTTTTTGGGGGGGGGGGGTGAAATGTGAAACACAGGGAACCTTTTGTTTTGTTTTGCATTTTTGGGGAAATCAGAAGGAAAGGCGCCGGCAATTTTGGGGTGCCCTGTTCCCCCCTACACCCCCCCCCCGCACAAAAAAAGGCACACACACACACACGCACAACACGCAAGCCACCGGAGGCGCCCAAAGGCCACGTCGTTCACAATCAATCCGCAGGATCCTCATGCCCGATGGTGACAATCAATCCGCAGGATCCTCATGCCCGATGGTGGCTTGGTGTATCTTTGTGTTGTGGGATTTCTTGAGGCTCACAAATGATGACTCGGATCCCCGCATATTGAACAAAGGTGCAGGAGAATGAGGGGGTCCAAAGGATAACGAGTTAAACACAAAAGATAAGGAGATGGGAACGCTTCTTGGGTTGCAACAACTCTAGAACTGGCAGCTGAGCAAAAGTTACAACACGATTTCTATAGTCAGAGGGAAGAGGGAGAGAGGGAGAGGGAGATCATATAGAATCAATCACGTGTTTCTTCGAGCGTGCTTTTGCACTCCATGCGTCACTTCCCCGGATTGTCTCATCACAAATGCTTGAGTTGAAGGTGCGCTACACTTAACCTTGTCACAAAAGATGCTCACAGGTTGCGATATCCGGGATTGAAAGTACGGAACATGCAACAAACAAAACAACAGAGGGTTAGGTAAAGGTAACCCATTGGAACATCAACAGTTGCTGCAGTTGCTTGGGTTTTCAATACCCCGTTTGGCGAACACCATTGAGGATCAAACCCACAGAAGATGGCCAGGCCCATGGCCTCTTGAACCTCCACCTTCCCTCAGGCACCAGCGCCCAAGGTGAGCGCTAGGCTGGGTTGGGCAAAGGAGGGGGGGACTAAACATAGCGTGGATTCCCGGAAAATTGTCTTGGAAGCAGTTCGAGATGGAAACCAGCCATTTTCTTGAGTGCTGTGGGAGAAGCCCGCATAGCTTGTGGCTGGTTTAGTTGCATTGTCCGCCTTGTGGGTTTGGGGGCTTTTGGGTCTCAAACAATATTGTTGTGTGATATCACATGTGTTTGCAACATATATTTCTACAGTTGTGTGTGTGTTTTTTTGTTTTGTGTGTGTGGGTGGGCTGGGCAGAATGGTCTTTTCACCAAGCACCACTTTGGGCCGGTAGGCAACATATCCGAATTGCAAATTCTGACATTGGGGCTTCAATTGAACACCTGGGATTGAAGCCGTTTCCAGACAGATTCCTCCTGGAGAAGTTACCCGTGTTCGACATGTCAAGAATCAAAAAGGCGGCTCGTAGAAGTGGTGTGCGTTGCCTTCTGATCTCCAGCTTTGATCTCGAGTTGGACTTGGTTTTTTTTTTTCCCCACATGGTCTTGACTGAGTGGGGCCTCCTTTCAAAGGCCTCGCCTGGAAAGAGGAGTTGGGGAACAGAGCTTCAGGTTTCCTTGCTTTACGCTTAAACGACCTACTTGCTTCGGGTTGGCAACCCTTTTACAGATCATTTGGCCAACAATGATGAGGATGTGCATTGAGGCAACCATGACCATGGGCTGCACAAGTGGCTTTCTGAGTAATTCTCATCTTCCGTTGGGCGGCGCGTACATTTCCGCCAAGCACTTTCTTCGCTCGGAAGCGCTAGCAGGCTACTGTAGCTGATCCAGGGTTCATTGCTAGTGTTTCGCGGGGGCGGGGGGGGTCGGCAGTGGGGCGGGGAGGGTGACTCGGTGCTAAAAAATAGCACATGTTGTTTAAACAAAAGAGCCCTAAAGGACTCCGGAAGGGTAGTTTGATTTTTGCCAGCCCCCTTATTTATCACCCAAGGAAGCAATTTTGCTATCTTCCAGGCCATCTCATGATCAGTAATTACCACAGTTGTTCGCCGCCTTTTTCAGCCGCGCTTCCCATGTATGTGAATTCTGGAGCTCGAGATTGCAGAGCTTTACAGGCCAACAATGTCATGCGAGTGTTTGTTTGTTCACGGTCTGAGCTAATATGGTTGTTCTGACTATTGACCCCTTTTTCCCCTGCTAGTCAATCACCAGAAAACCGTGCCAGAGTCTGGGGCCCGGCAAGTCCCCAAGTGAACTACCGAGCGCCAGGCGGCGGAAGTCTGACCCAAGCCCAGACGTGAAGAAGGCATCACAACTCACCATTGCAACTTCTCACTCCCTGAGTTCATGGAATTGATTTTGTTTTGGAAAGAGCATGTTTAGTGGCAAAAACCAGTTTGGAGTTGTTTGGACCATCAACTCAGGAAGTGATGCAATATCGCTGTGAGCCAACCACACAAATGTTTCTTTGAAGCTCTCACGACAATGGGCTGGCGGGCAGCAGTTCCTTCCATGTGTTTGAGGCAAACCGCCGAGCACGCTGCACAAACACACACACACACATTCACGGGGAAACCATAACAAAAGCACTCAGGGCAAGGAAGCAGCGTTTGCCTTTCTGGGGATGGACGGGAGGTGGGAGGCCGACATATTGTGTGCAAGGCCTTTCTGTTACTGGGCCTTGCCGGGGAGAGATCAGGGCAGGCAACATGTCAACTTCATCTATGAAGAATTCGCGCAGTCCCAAAAGTGATCCGAATCCAGCCACTGAATCATTCTAGCTTGGACATCCGTCCAATGAAGATCAAGCAGTTGTAGTCGTCCATATCGTCGAACATGCCGCAGGCAGCCAAGTCTTCAAGCCGGGAAGCGCCGCCAGTGCAGAGTGCGAAACCAGCGACCCCAGTGGCTTGGATCTGGCTGCCAGCTCTGTTCGAGAGTGCGTTTTTTTGTTTTTTTTTGAGGACTCCAAGCAAAATATAGGGAGAGCGATTGTTTGGCGCGAAGGATCCCAGGAACGGACGGGACCCCACTGTTTGGAAGCTTGGAGAGCTTGTTGGGCGCATCCGCAAAAGAGCTAAGATTACTTGAGTTAGTGACTTGGTCTTGGATTTCTGGGGCCCGAGGCTGCACGAGCATCAAAGCTGCCAGCTGGACCAGAGGCACAAGACCAACTGGGACCAGCGGCTGCAGCGCAGCCACAAGTGCCCACGCAGCCAACACCATCGCTCGCGCCTGTGCTGGCGCGCCCGCAGCCAACGCAGGCGCGGCCATTGAAGCCATCGCCGATGCAGCCGGCCGTGGCCCAGCCAGCACCAGCACAGCCATCAGCAGCGCAGCCAGCGCCAGCGCAGCCAGCGTTGGCGCAACCACCGCCAGCGCATCCAGCACCAGCACAGCCGTCAACAGCGCAGCCAGCGCCAGCGCAGCCAGCGTTGGCACAACCATCGCCAGCACATCCAAAACCGGTACAGGCATTACCAGTGCAGCCAGTCCATCTAGCGCAGACAGTGGAGCCAGTGCCAGCACCGCTAGAGCATCCCTCGCAAACCCAACCGACCGAATCAGCCCACATTTCAACTGCTGCGTTGGCTTTGGCAATGCATGCCACGGATTCGAACTCTCCTGCCCTGACTTTACCAGCCCTGACTTTACCGACTTCGCTCTCCCCTTCGCTTGCTTCGCCGGGCGTCGACGCTCTCGCGCAAGAATCGCAGCTCAAGAGGCTGACAACTGCCTCAACCCCGTCTGAACCGGAGCCAGTGGACGCTTGGCAGCCGGCTGCAAAAGCCATGCCGACTTCACCGGAGGCAGGGTGAGGCATTCCTGTTTCTGAGTTTCGCGTTCAAAGGAATGTCGTCTTCCAAGAGGGCGTTTTGCGCTGTGCACTTCCATGTCTGTTGACGGAGTGACAAGCGGAAGCGCAAGGCAACCTCAGCCGCTTGCCGCTCTTACATCAGCAGCTGCCAGGTGCAGTCAGCCCGCCTCTCCAGGAAGACCCCAGAGGCCTGAACCGTTGACGCGGATAACGGGTGGAGCTGGATGGACATGTCACCAGTCCACGAGGAATTCGGCAGTCTGCTTCCCACGTTCAAACACGGAGGCGGTTCCCTTTCTGTCCCAAGTGAATTCGGGAGCAAAAAGCTGTTTTGTTATTTTGTCATTCCGACTGCGAACAATCGGCAGCCCAAATAGGATTTCGATGAACTTCCCGATGTTGTAAGAAACAGGCGCCGACATCCTAGAATGTTTGATTTGTTGAGGGTCTTACGTCTTTGCATTTGGGTAAGATCCCAATCCCAGCTGGAGATTGACCAAGTCCGAGAAGGATTTGTTCACATCTCCTGCGCCTGGAATTTCAGTTCCCAAGTTTGTAAAAGCAGTTCAGAGGTTAAACACGACTTGGGAGTGTTTTGTGCCAATCCACTCATGTCAAACATGGCTAAGCTTGTTTGGCCGAACGCAGGCACCGCGGCGCCAGCTGGTCGAGAGCCCAGTCAAGGCCCGCGCTGGGTTTCGGCATGGCCCAGATTCAAATTGGCGGCTTTCTTTTTGTGAGGGTGTACCGGTGAGCTAGTTTTGAACGGATCCACTAGCAAACCACGAAACCAGCCGGGACCCGGGGCTTCCTTATTTTGAGACCAGCTGCCAAACTTTGGGCTGGAATGCTTCTGGATGTCCCCTTCGAAAGTTGACCAGTCCGAGTTCGAATGAAACTGCCTCTTTGGTCCAAAAGGGAATTGAGGGATCCCCTTGTGGGTGAGACTCAAATCCGGATCTGACCTTTCTTTCCTCCCCCCCCTACTTTTAGCGGCGTGAGGGCTCCAAAAAAGGCGAAATGAATGTGATGTCTTTCCGGGCGAGCAAATCGGCGTGTTTGTTTGCAGCAACAAGGACAAGTGCTTAGCGTGCAAATGTGGGTTTTCGGCTTCCGGCCACCGCTGATCTGGAGGCAACACACCTAAACAGGCATTTCCCAACTCGCCCCCTTGTTTGTTGCATTTTGTGGCCGTTTGGGTGTATTCCGACAACCCTCAGATGCTTGAGGTTCTGTTTAAGTTTTGTCCGGCTTCTTTCGCATGGTGGAACGGTTTGGGAACAAGGCCAATTGCGTCCTATCTTAGAAGTTCAAGAGGATCCTGCATCTCAGTATTTGGATGGGTCTCTTTTTGATGGTGCCCTTTTTGGGCATGAAAGTGGCACCAAAAGCAAACCATACACCGCCCCCCCCTCCTCCCGCCTCCCTCAGTTCCATATCCTACTTGGAGGGCACACACCCAGTTTTTAGCCGCCGGGTCATCCCCGGCGTTCGCAGGATCGCCCAGCCACCTCGGAGAGCCGCTTGATGCGAGGCCGGGCCGCATGGAACGCCGTGCCCGACCTTCATCCCGTATTTTTTCTTTTTTCGGGGCGGGGGGGGGGAGGGAAGGGGCAGGGGTGGGGGGGGGGGTTGAGGGGACCTACTTGATTTATGACAATGTTCAACTTGCAAAGCGAACCAAGGAAAGTTGACATTTAACTCGTCAATGTGTCAAATCTGGGTTGGAGTGAGCTGTTCAACAATCATGGAGGTGGACATTTGACAGCCTTTCAAGAAGATTCGCACATAGTCGGCATGGTCCACGTCCATCATTGTTGAGAGAGATCCCCACCCCCCTTCACTCCCCGGAAAAAGATATGCATGCGCCCATCTCCTTGATGAGTCTCATGGTGCCAGATTCAGCTCATCGTTCAGCTCTTCTTGACTTTTGCTTTCGCGTTGCTTTTGCAACTTCACACCCGAACCTCTGACTATTTGCTTTTTGCAGGCACACCTCCGCAGAAGAGAGTGAACTGGGCCTCCTTGACACGCGTGGACACGAAGCCGGAGGCATGGTGGTGCTTTCACAAAAACCGTGCGGTCAAGATTGGGCGGTTCGTTTGTGGATGGTTGAAAGGCAAACCAAAGGGAAACTACCAACTATATGGGGGTGTCTTTGTCTAAGCGACTTGTTTGATGATACAATGATACCCTTTTTGGCTTTGTCGAACGGGCAGTCTGCAGGCTTTCCCGATTTTTCACGACAACACCCATTCGCCCGGTGATTCCCAATGCCCCCACCCCGTTTCTGCCCGGGGAAATATCGGTGATAGCTTCTGCGAAGCTGCGAGGGTAACTTCCCCTCAGGTCAGCAGATGAAGGTAAAGGGACGGTCCAAACCAGAAACAGGTGCTGATATCCACCTGTTTCATTCTGCATCGGGTTTGTTGGATACACCTCTCTCGAACCAAGCTTTGAGTATGGCTCTTTTGCATTTCTTGTTTGTAGCGGATGCCCGGATTCCGGGGCAAATGACCGTCCCTCCTGCAAGCACCGAGGCTGACAGGGGGAAACACTACATTCCCTTAGGGGTCAGCTTCCACGTTGACTAGGAGGGCAGACAAAGTATTAATTGGAATCGCTTCGCGTTGCCCGCCTCGGCCAGTCCGCTTTTGGCTGGCTTTGAGGTATACTCCGTGCTTTAGTTTGCCTTGAAGTCTTGTGTTTGCGTAAGCTGGTTTCCAAGGTAGAGGGTGGGTGCATTTCTGCGTGTTTGCACATGGCTTCAAGGGCCAGAACAAGAGCTGCAGAGAGCTACAGAACTGGTTTCTGGTAGAGGGGAGTTTGATCGGTTTTTTAAGGGGGGATTGGATAGGCTTCTGGAGGGGGGGATTTGACCGGTTTTAAAGGGATTGTAACCGGTTTCTAGGGGATTTGACCGGAGTTGGGCCGGCTTTGCGAGGGGGACTTTGAGAGGGGATGGGACTTTCGAGATGACCGGATTTAAGGGGGATGTGAACGGCTTCTAGAGGCATTTGACCTTTGAGGGGGGGGGTTCACCGGTTTTTTGAGGGATCTAACCACTTCCGGATCCAAGGCAAATTTCATGGGACCTGCCAGCTGTTTCAGAGAGCGCACGCAGCTTGCCTCAAAGCAAGGAGCCCCCCTACAAAAAAAAAGAAGCGGTTTCCCCATGCCTATCCTTCTTCGCTACCCTCTCAAGGGTACCTTCGCAACAAGAACCCGCAGATTCTGCCTCGCGCTAGGTAGAAGCTGGGCCGATGGCGCCAATTGTGTCGAAGGTCTCCACGGATGGCCGGAGGCCGAGCTTGCCAAGGCGCTTCCTTGCAACGATTGGAAGGGTGCCGAATCATGTCCACCGATCGGGAGAGGGGGGTGGCCCTTGGTTTCTTGACAGGGAATCTGGCGTGGGGGGCTGACCTTTTGGAATGTGAATAGAACTTATTTTCTTTTTTTAATGGAGACCCCCAGCACCCTCACCATGTGTCCCCTTAAACATCACCCAAAAAGAATCTTGAATTGAGTAAAGGGAAGGCCCCAAAGAAGGAACATTGGTAAACCATTCTGGAGGGGTGAATGACGTTTGACATGGCGATGTGTGAAGCGGAATGCGGCAACGGGCGGGACTTGACTGGCAGGCGATGGAGTGACCGAGCGCCAAGCATTCCTCAGCTGGAAGAGGAAGCTGCAGCTGAAGAGCCGGCAGAGTTGCTGGAGGATCAGGTCCACGAGAGGGTCGTTGAGGAGGAGCCTGGCACGCTTGTGATTGACTCGGCAAAATTTCACTCTCGGGACCTTTTTTGGACTCTCGGTTGAATTGCGCATGGGCCAACAAAAACCAGGGTCCAAAAGGGGCCATGGCAATGGGCCCTTTAAAGTTTTCAGCTCACTGAAAAAAGGAAACGGCGCACGCCCTGTCATGCCCTCTACTGTACACACTGTAGATGCATATGTATAGGTAGGGGTGTGTAAGTTAATCAGGATGAGGGGTCCATTAACACGGTTTGTTTCCACATGTCCCTTGTCAATTGGAGCAAACTGAAGTCGCAGAAAGACGGGGCAACCTGATTTCACCCTAGCTCCACGGGGGTTGCAACATGGGAGTATCAGATGGATCCAATTATGACAGCTAAGCGTTGGGAGCACTTCAGACGGGAGCCATAGGAAGGCCGGTCACCAGGCTGCAATGCTTGCCTTACAGACTGCGTCACTAATCCGCCAGCTGGCGGTTCGCAGGAGCTATCGCAGATCGATGCTGAAAGATCCTTGGCAAAGACAGTTTACATGCGCGGTCCATGTTCGACCCTTCTTGCCAGGCTAAGTCTGAGATCTGTTTGCAAATGATTCTACATCTTCAGGTCCAATATGGACCGTTCAGCATATTTGTTCTTTGGGGGCAAGCGCCAAGAGAGCTGCATGAAATTCTCGAGGACCTCCCCTAGTGCTCGGAGCTGCAAGGAACTGAAGTCAGCCGGTCCCAGCTGCAGCTTCCAGCAGGCCGGCTTCGAGTGATGGCATGCCGGGACCCAAAGCCCCTCACGCCTTTGGCACGAGAGAAATGACGTATGGAAGTTCGGAAGGGCGCGACCCCATATTTTTGTCAGGTGGAAGGCCTTGCATGGAAGATGAAGGTGCTCAGAAGGATGAAGTGTTAGCTCAAGAGTTGTGATTTGCTTCTTGTCAGTGCCAGTCTGGCTGTTTGCAGCACTTTGACTAGATCAGTCACCAGTCAGCTTGGGTTATTCCCTTTGCTTTGCGTTCCGATGTCAATTTGCTCCAATGCATTTGTCCCAAGGCGTCCTCAAAGGGCTCAATTGGCACATGTGTGCCTCAGGCCTATTCGCCCCACCCAATGGCCTGTTCAAGATGTTTGACCCGTTTCACGGTCGCGGCAAGCCTCGTGAATCACAACTTCATTGCGCTTCATGGTCTGATGGCCTTGGGGGGGGGACCAAAAGCTCTTGTTGAAAGAACACCCTGTCGAAAAGAGAAGCCGCTTTGTTAGGCTTTGTTGGCGGGAGGGTAATGTAGTCACCACGTAGCCCTCTATCCGGTTGCTTCAAACAAACAATTGGCTTCGTGTCAGAATGGCAACTGACTCCACTTTGGGCAGGGGAACCATCTGAAATCGCCTCGGCAAGAAACACTACCGGCTGGATGGTAGTTAATAGGGGCGCCAAGTTGAGACTGTTCATTCTTAGGCGCCCCGCGCGTTTCTTTTTTCAAGGCCCAAAGTGTGGCTGGTCTAAACTTGCTTCATTTGCAAGTTTACGAGCCCTGTCAACCAAAAATTTGCGGTCGACCCGCGATGTTAGCCAAAACAAAGGCAAAAAGCCACATGTTTAACGATAAAAGCACAGGTACGAGGCCCTCAATAGGTTCAAGCTCGTTTTGAGTGGTTGCCTTTTGTGTTCAACGACCAACAGAGCCCGCCGGGTCCTGGACCCCTGTTTCCCCTTTCGTGGAGTTGTCCTCCTCCTCAACCAGAGGATCACGTGGCGCACACCAATGCTACCTGCCGTTTCATAAGGGTCCCTTGCGTATGACCCCTTTTAGGGGTCTCGTTTCAACAAGTTGCCAGGTTGGCGCCGAAGACCTGCTGCATGACTGCAGTCATTTTCGCCTTTGGGGGGGCAGCCAGCCAAAGGGCAACCAGACAGAATGACATTGGTTCGAATATCCGCCCATATCCGCCCCTCTTGATTTACATGGTTTTGGACAGGCCACTCTAGTTCCAGGTTTGCATTCTCACTCATGATGACTCGTGTGTGGTTGTGTGAGCGTGTGCGCATGTGCAAGTTTGTAAGTGCGTAGGTTTTGGAAGTAAGTGTACAACTGTGTGTTTTGCGCGTGTTTGTGCGCGCGTGTGTGTGTGCATTTGTGCGTTTGTGTGTTTGTGCGCCTCTGTGTCTGTGTCTCTGTGTCTCTGTGTCTCTGTGTCTCTGTGTCTCTGTGTGTTTCTGTGTTTCTGTGTTTTTGTGTTTCTGTGTTTCTGTGTTTGTGTGTGTGTGTCGGTATGTGTGTCTGTGTCTGTGTCTGTGTGTCTTTGTGTGCGTCTGTGTCTGTGTGTGTGTGTCTGTGTGTCTGTGTGTCTGTGTGTTTGTGTGTCTGTGTGTGCGTCTGTGTCTGTGTGTGTGTTTGAGCCGCATGCCGTGCTGCCACCTCTTTCCATCCACAACTCCGTACTCAGAGACGGAGCCGGACCAGGTTCCCTTTGTTTTCCTCGCAGGGTTCCCTATACTGGCATGGCCCGGCATGGCTCCTCCTTGACTTGGTATCTCATTTGGTGTTTGAAGTTGGAAACCTAGGAACCCTTTCTGGGGCATATGCCTCACATTCAACGGGCTATCGCTGAAAACGTGCCAGCAAGGCGCTGTGGAGCCAAGAGGGCCTCAACGAGAAACGTTTAGGTGTGTATGCGTGTGCGCGCGTGCGTGCCTTTTCGTTTGTTTCGGACATTTGGGACGTTGAGGGCATGGGACAGCCACCCTTGCGGCTTGCTTCTTTGAAATCCAGTAAGTAGCCACCGCACTGTTTCGATGTGGGTTCGCAAGACGGCGCTCCCGTTATGTCCTGATGCATTTGGCGACGCGTTAAAGGCTCACGCAGGCACTTTAGTATCGATTGGTCAGGTTCGACAACATTGTTTAGCTTAGACGGCTTGTGCTGATGCTTGTACAAGTTGCGGCATGTTTGCTTGCCCGCCTGCTCTTGTTTGCTTGGTGTGATGGCTTTTTGGCACACCTCATGTCTTGTGGCATGCATGCTTGCCCCCTTTGCTAGCTTTGCAAGGGACCAGCTGAGGCAACCACCCCGCAGTTCAACTGGAGCTTGTGCCTTACACATGTGCTCAAAGTGATGGGTGCGTCAGCCACTGCGCCAGCATAGCACCTGCTCGGCAACGGCAACACTTCTTTATGCCTTTTGCAGCAGAAAGGTTTGACTTGGCGGTTTTGGGATCTTGTTCTAGCGGCCGGTTGAACTCCTCCTTGAGACATCAAGCAACCGCCCCAGATTACCCAGGTGATTTGGAGTAGGCAGATGCACTTCCGATGGCTAAGTGTCAGCCCCTGAGGTCAAGAAGCTGCGCTGGCAGCCAGTCAGCACTGGAGACGTTTGGGTGTTGGGTTGCGGGAAAGGCATGCTAGGCGCAGCAAGCGGGGGAGGGACGGCTGGAGAAGGTGCGATGCTTTGTGCGCAGTTGTGCTTGCAGCTGCCTTTTGGGCTTAAAGCATCCGCATGGCGACCGACAAGCCGGACAGAGACGAAGGATCGGTCTCAGAGTCGGGTTGCCATGCACGGGCCAATTCCACATGCAAGGGGCTGCAAGGGTGCTGTCGAAGTCAGGTCTATTTACGTGTTAGGCAATTAATTAAGAATGCGAAATCCCAAAACTGAAAGGTTGATTCCCTGGAGCCTGCTGGTGAGTTGCCCAAAAATGCGACCTTGCGCTCGATGGCCTGTCAAATGAAGCGGTTAGGTTAGAGTATTACAATTTATACAAAAGAGGTCAAATTTGGACAGCCTTGTTGGATGTGTTGCGGGATGGTCTTTTGAATTCTACCCCCAAGTGTTCTTGTTTAGAGCTTTTTAGACTACTGACCTCATTGGGTATAGTATACATGTCCGCTTAACAGTGTAGGTCATGGAGCTATTGGCAGAGGCCTTGGTTGGTTGGCCGCTTGGCTGCTTGGTTGCTTGGCTGCTTGGTTGGTGGCTGCTTGGTTGGTCCACAGGCTGGATCTTTGCTTCATTGATGTTGCTTTACGGCAGATTTATTGTGTGGTTTAGGGTTGTGTTAGGCAACAGGGGTTGGTGTGTGTGGCTGAACCCGTTCGATTTCTTGTGGGCTGGAGGATCCAGGTCGAAGGCTCGCTTTTTGGACTTTCAGTTTGTTTGTTTTGCTGGTGTGGTTGCGACCACCAAACCAGGGGAACACCAACCCAACACTACCCCAAATCAAAGTGCGACTGCGAAACAAGCCTCACACCCGGCGAAAACAAGTCATTGACTCTGCAAGATATCAGACCTCCCCGAATCATTGCTGACCCTGCCAAAACCACAAAAAAAAGCAAGACAGACCAAGCAGCAACCTGGAATCCCAAAGGTTGCACGAATGTATTTGTGGGGTTGCATGGTTTGACCCTATGTGACACGCTTAGGAGGACAAACAGGGAGATGAAGCCCTATTTTGCCGCTGCTTTCGTTTCAGTTGCTCAATTCATCTCGCTTTTCGAGCCCAAGCCATCGGTGTCTGCCAGGCGAAGTGCTCGCTGTGCCGCGAAAGGGCGCGCCGGATGACTCTGACACCCCGGAAGCCTTTAAGGCGCGGTCCAGAACTTGTGGTTTTCTTCAGTGAATCCACTTGGCAGATCTGGGTGGTCAAAATTAAACCAGGGGACCACAGGTTTTGGTCCATGTTTCCACTTGCCAGGGTTCCATGTGGGCTACCTATTTTTGACCCACAGCCATCTAGCCATTGAGCTTCAAGTTGAAGCGGACATGTTTGTTGCTGCCTAGCATTTTTTGTATGCACCGCACAGCGTGTGTCGCAATGTCAAACATGCTGACATGATGTCGGTCGGGCGCATCGCCCTCAATGTATCAGTACCGCTGTCCATTCCTAGAGCTTGTTCTTGTTGTATTGGTTTTGGAATCTGTTGGTCATGGACTTCATATTGCGAGTAAGCTTGCACCGTTCGGCACTCCCTCAGCGGGACTCGAGGGAGGGAAAGAGAGAGAGAGAGAGAGAAAAACATATGCATGCATGCACATGCGCCATGCGCATGTACGTACATGTACTTCTGTTTGCAAGCTTACGTACGTGCACATCAGATGGATGTGCATACACTGCGTTGGGTTCCGTAATGCAATGCAATTCATAGACAGACAGACAACCAGACACACAAACCCAGGCACACACAGACGCACGCACAAGCCACACACGCACACACACGTGCATTCAGGTGTGCAGGCATTTAGACACGCAGGCATGCATGGCGCATACACACACACACACATGCGGACTCCCGCACCGGCATTGTGCGCACGCACGCGTAGCACACACACACACACACATGCAGGCAAACACGCATCCGGTTTGTGTTCACAGACGCAGAGACAGACACAGGCCCACACACAGCCCTCACACACACACACACACACACCCACGCACAGACACGCACGCACGCATGCACACGCTCACGCTCACGAACGACGCACGAACGCAAAGACACTCGAACGCGCCAACACGCGGACTCAGACACCGACAGAGAAGCAAGGACGGGGGCACCGACGCACGGACGCACACTCGCACGAAAATGCACACACACACACACACATGCGCCGGCACACCGGTATCCTCACACACAAGCAGGCACAGATTTGTACACACTCACACTTTAAGCACACGAGCGCACTATAGATGCGCGCGAGCACGCGTGCGGACAGACACAGACACACCTGTGCGCGCCCTGATAGATGTGTTTGTTTTGATCT